GGGCATGCACAGGATGAGTCACATCATTTAAAATTAGCCCTGATTGGAGAAATTGGAAGTGTTACAACTGACCCACGTTACAACTATCCCCGGTCTCCCTACATTTTCTCGTCCATCGAATGAATCACAATCAGAGGGCGTTATGAATCCAAAGCGTGAATCGTTTTGTTACAGACACTCACGAAAAATGTAAATATGAAACAAAGAACAAAGACCAAAAAGTGGAATCTTAATTACAAATAATAAAAGAATTCCCGATGTCATAAAGAGGAGCTATAGCCTGGAGTTTGACGGCCACAGGTACAATGATTTCCTGCAGCATTCGCTGATGCATCGTGGGTGAATGAGTCTTCTGAGATGGAGAGGCTGTGGGGGATTTTAAACTTGTTTATTTATTTATCTAAGTCCTCACTCTTCTCAGTAACCTGGTATTTCTTTCTGTATGTGTACTTTAAAAGTCAAGCACAGTATGTCTGAGGAGAAGATGTTCCAAACATTTGTCGATCGCATCAGTAAATCTGTAAATGTGAGAGAACCAGACTGACTGTATGTCTGCACAATCAGAACACCGCCCATCATTTCTACAGCAACACAACATTTGATTTCTTTTTAAAGCAAACACACACCGCCCCCTCTTTATGCTCTCCCTCCCGCTTCCACTTCTCACATAAGGATCCTATAAAGTTACTGCGGCCCAAAGTAGACGCATGCGCGTTAGGTAGCGTGTGTAGTAGTATTATTATTATTGTGAATGGGGGGATGGAGGTGTGGGCATGGGGTAGAGTGGAAATGGGATGGGGGTGGGTGGCTGAGGGGGGCGGTATTTTCGGTGTACAGTCACAAGAGCGACTCGACGGAGCCAGGAAGTAGACTGTTGATGCCTTCAAGTACTTTCTAAACTGTCGTAAATGTGACCTTTGACAGCGGCGCTAACGACCTGCCAAAGCGTTACCACGAAGGAAAAAAGGAGAGAAAGAGAAAACAAGAGCTCTGCTATTTTATGAGAAACTGAAGGAAGGACTGTAACAAACGGCTGCTTGTACTCCCGACATCCACAATGATACTGCAGGCTGTTAGTGATGAATTGTAGCTATTTCCTTTTTTAAAATTCATTTTAACTCCGGGCATACTGCATTTTGGAAGCATTTTGACCTTTTACTAAATCATACTGATACATGAATGAAAATGCAAATTATGCTACACACCAGACAAATATTTCCTGTGCTGCCAGAGCATAAAACAGCTTTGTTCCCTGGCATCCCTGCATTTATTCTAATAGCAACTTTACAGACTTAAGCGCCTTTGTTTGGTGCTTTAAGGTTATCTGTATCCCAAAAATCCCTCTTGACCCACGGGTAGTCGGTAGGCCCACTGAGAAGAAGCACTTGAAAGTTACAGGTAGACTTGAGACGCGCTCATTTGTTGCCACTTGCTTGAGATCAGACGCTCGTCGAGAGAGGGAGGGAGGGAGAGCTACACGGTCAAACTGAGCTTTATCTATCGCTGTGGGTCACTTAATAAGAGCCATTTGGAGCTAGAGGCGACCCGGAGCGCGCAGGAGCCGCAGGCACAGGCAGATCATCAGTGTGTCAGCAGCAGTCACAATCACAGAGATCAGCAGCACAGAGCACATTGCTCCACACAGGGAAGGAAAAAAACACAGAGAGAGAGAGCGAGAGAGAGAGAGAGACGCGGAAGAGAAGTGAGTGAAAGAGAGACTGAGTGAGGGACGGACTGCAGCACACTCTTTAACTTGTACTCTGCGCTGCGGGATAATTACCAAAAAAAGAAAAAGAGGCGAATCTGAAGTGGCCGCAAAGTGTTGGTGAAGATGCCGCGGGTAGTCCCGGACCAGAGGAGCAAGTTTGAGAATGAGGAGTTTTTCCGCAAGTTGAGCAGGGAGTGTGAGGTGAGTCTGCTGCGCTTCTACACTCGGCGGAAATAACGAGAGAAAGGAGGCTCGTTAGAGGAGAGAAGCGTGCTGTAACAAACTTCACACTGTTGGGTAAAACTAATAAAGACTGGTAGCGCACAGAGAGGCTTTGTTATCAGTTGCTTCGACATTGTTACTCTTTGTTATTTTGCTCTTTTCCTTTATGTCGTTATGGATTTATTTGTGGTATTAATCCTGGATGAACAAAAAAAATGTATGTATTTTTTGTTAAAGGTACAAACCCCAGAGTAGAAAGAAGGATCTGTTTCTGACATCAAAAATCTAAATTCCTGTCGCTTATCTTCAAATTGCAGCTTACTGAATATCAATCAGTCCCATTCAGTGCAGATGCCAAATCAAATTCAGCTTTATGAACATGTATGTGTGTGTTATTCTTTTCTCTGTAGATTAAATACACTGGCTTCAGAGACCGGCCCCACGAGGAGAGACAAGCTCGTTTCCAGAACGCCTGCAGAGATGGACGCTCAGAAGTGGTGAGCAAAACAAACATTTTTACTCCTTATAGAAAATAACTGGATGGGAGGGCAGTCCTGTGTACCCATAATGTGACACAAACAGTGGGAAAAGTGCACCAGAAACTTTTCATTTCTATAACAAGCACACTGATGTGGATATGATGTACAGTGGCTGGATGGTGTCTTATTTGCGCTGTTGTGAATGGCACTAGTATATATGAAATTACAAAGACACGATCCCGGCACCAATACGTGACACTATGAAACCGTATTGTTAAACTGGCTTTGTGCGTGTGCGGATATTTTGATGCGTCCCTGCACCAGGAAGTAGACCTTTATCAGACATGCAGACCCACCAGACTTTACTTCACTCGCGGGCTTCTTTCCTCTGTGTTCTGCAGCTGCAGTCGTCGCATGTTATCACGCAGGCTTCACGGTTCCAACGAACGCTGTGCAGGAGGCGCGATTTGGGGCCTGAAAGCTGCCACTTAAGCTAAACCTCACCTTGCTTGTCTAATGTTGTTGTACACAGGATCCAGACGACAGTACGATACAAAAGAGTATTCACTCATTTTTTCAATAATCATGTAACTGATTAATACCTGGTAATTAGATTACTATTTTAGTTTAGATACTCAGTTGTGCTGGGCGGTCCCGTGCTCTGCTGTCGCCTGCGTCACACTGATTTATGTAGAAGTTTTTTCTTTATTTTCACTTACGGAGGAGCAGCCTGTGGGGAGCTGCGGCAGCAGGAGGTAACAGTGAGCTGGCTCTGCCATTTATCCGTTCCCCCGCCTCGCTGCGCTCTTCCAGTGCATCCAGTCAAACGTCCAGTTTGAAATGGATGCCTCCTCACACGAGCTCACTGTCACAGGATCACAATGTCAATTATAGTGCAATGCAGGTAAAACTGCAGTATTCTCCGGGGGACAGCAGTGCGCTCTCTTTGTTGTACCCAAACAGTGTGAGCAGCATTTAATGTTGCTGTGTTGTGTGAAGGCTTTAAAACAGCTCTGAGTGTGAGATGAATCTGTGAACTCCAAAGTGCAGCGTAGAAGTTGCTCAGTGTCGAACTTTAACAGTCACACAAAGCAACATTGTAACAGAAACGTATCTGCATATTTTACTGTCTTCACTTCTGTGGAAACACGACAAAGCTTTCTCCTTACAGTAAGCGCAAACAAACCCACGTGACCCGCTTTTGTTTCCTTTCAAACACACAGGGCGCAGTGTTTGCGATCAGCACTTTACCGCGTCAAAGCAAGTCTGGACACATTAATATTCTAATGATGCGATTAGCCACGTCTGTTTCAAACTTTCTATATCACGCCTCCAATAAAAGGTGAGGTCAGACGAGAAAGCCTTCGGGCTGCTGGCGCAAACACAGAGCAACTTCTGCCGTCTTAGTCATCCTCGTGGTATTTTTCACAAACACGCTGTCATCATCGGGCAGCGGCGGTGAGCCTGGAGGGTGCAGGCCATCTAGTTTTACCATCTTTTAGTGGGCCGCGTTGCGTCTGTCTGTCTGTCCGCACTGTATTTATAAGCCTCTTCTGCCGTGAGAATTGATGGCCACGGTTTTAATGGTTTGACGGCAGCTGTGACATCATGCCTCTGATTTATCTATCGGCCTGACGCCGCTAAAGACCTCCTGCTATTTTAACGGTGAGCGTGAACAACTATTAGACACAATGTGCTGTCGAGGTTGGCCTTTTATGGACGACACAAAGTCTTTTTAATACTTCTGGATTTTAAAGTTTGACCTCCAACGGATTGGGATGTGTGTGTAGCGACGTCACAACACGTTAACGTGTAGCTTTTAATAAAAGCTGACGTGTGTCAGCCCTGGCGCAGTCAGTCGATTATTTACTTTTAAAAACGATTGGGAAAAAATGACATCAGACCTTTTTCCAAGCAAAGACTTCTAAATCTCTGGGACTTTAAATAAATAGATTTCCAGAACAAACACGTAACTCACGGGCTAACTGTAGAATTCATTTTACTTGACATGAAAAAATCAAAGACAAAGTTTTAGTGGTTTTGTTTTCATTATTTTTTGAAAGTAAAATCAGATGTGCAGTAAGTCTTTAGAGTTCAATGGCTTTTAAAGAAACAGGCATTTATCTCGTTTAAAAAATCCTACTCATTTCTGTGCCTCGGCATTTTGTTAGACACGTACGTATCACGAGAAATGAAATGAGGCACACACACACTGATGCGTGGCTCTAATCGCAGGGCCATTCTAAAATGTTCAGGATTGATCTGATGAATGGGACAATAATTCAAAGTAAATGATCTTCAGCTCAGCTCATTAGAGATGAGTCCTTTTCTAAACTACTATCGATTTTCATGCTGCGCTGCTCTCTCTGTCTCTCTGGATGTCCATCTCCTTTGACTTCATTTTCTTTGCTCCTCATACTTCTCTTCATCTCACTTCATGTCCTCCTCCACCTTTGCCTCAGTTTCTTGTCTCCTCTCCTCCACTTCTGTCTTCTTTTCTGCTCCTTTGTCTCCGTTTCCCTCCATCTCTCTTTTTGCCTCCCCTTCCCTCTTTTTTCTCTCCAGCAGTAGTAGGCAGCAAATTAGTATCAGATGGTTGTAATCCAATACTTCAAATACAGCAGAAATGATGACTCGGGTGTTCTCTGCTCCCCTCCGCGTCGTTCTGTCCTTCTTCTCTTTCATTCAGTTTTTGCTCCCTCTCTGATGAGGGACAGATTTGAAAGGGTGCATAATTCATATGCTTCCAGTTTCAGTCGCATCACTAATGCCCTTAGTATTGATCTGTCTCAGCAAACGCAACACATCACACAGACACACAAAGACAGTGGGCGCACACGCACAGATTCGCATTATAAAAACGACATTTTCTAACCTAATTTTCTGCCTCTCTGTTATTCGTTGCTTTCTGACTGCAACGGAGAAATGCATTTTATTGATTTTCATTTCATTTGTGCTTCTGTGCGTTTGTGCGCATATTCCGAGCGGAGCACATCCCATTAGAGCGAGAAGCTGTTTTACAGAAATCCGAACAGAAGAAACACTAGAGCCTGGTGTGATTATATGTTTGTGAGGAGAGCAGGCCGCTGTTTCAGTTGGAGCTTTTGTTCTGAGAGGAGAGCGGTTAGACCACGAAGAAACTCAGAAAGGCAAAAGGGAAAGAGGAGGAGGGGACTTTGATGCATCGAACTTTAACATTTGTCACTTATTTTCAGCATTTCAGGTTTCCTGCTGAATGTGCTGGGATTCTTCTCATTTGCATTTCTGGACATTTAAAGAAAAAAGCCATTAACATTGATTAATTACAATAATGCCACTGAACTTCTAAATGCCAGCTTCTGGTTTGTTATCCAGTTTCAAGGCCCAAGCTGAGATATAACAGTAAGGTCGAGTAGATAAAAATGCTCATCCAGAGCCACAGCTGTGCAATATCCCCTTATTATCACTTATCACTCTGAGGTCAATATTAGCCCTCTTTACACCCTTTTAGGATTATTTTTTAATGTGCAGCCTGATAAAGTTCAATAAAAGTCGCAAAACAAATAAAGAGCAAGCGACACTGTTAAATGTAACTCAGTTAGTTTGTCATGTAGCATGTAACATATGAAAGTCCATGTTTGAATTATTAAACCAACCCAAGTAGGTTTTTTTCTTTTTGCCTATCTAACCAAACAGTCAATGGTAACTTTATTGTCCCTAACGGGAAATTGATTTGCAGTATGTCCGTACAAACAAACAAACAGACAACCAACACATCACATACACTCACCAAGATAATATAATAATAAGTGACAGAAAAGGAAAAGTGGAAGTGTAAATGCAGCCGTCCCAAACGGGCCTTCAGCTCCTCTCTTTGCTTGGACGTCACTGGCTTCCTAATACAGAATTTTGACAGTTGTGCTGTACTGGCATGTACACTGATGCTAAAGCTGTGTTCATGTGTGACAGCAGTAAGCAAGAGACTGTAGGCAGAGCATCACCATAACTTCACCCGCTGGATAGTGAAGACCTGTGGTACCAAAGTCCTGCAAAAAATATATTGTTATTTTTCTCAGAAACTAAATGAAAATGAGCATTTTGAAGTTAAAACACCAGTTGTCTAAAAAGTTGTGTTGAGATCTGTTTTCAAAAAATCAAAACTTCATGCACATTTCAAATGATCTCGTTTCACCTCTGACCGACTCAATTGTGCATTTTCCATTTCTCCACAGGCCTTCGTAGCGACAGGTACCAACCTCTCTCTCCAGTTCTTCCCAGCCAACCTGCACGGAGATCAGAGGCAGGTTCCTACGAGGGAATACGTCGACTTCGAAAGGGAGTCGGGAAGGGTAGGATGAGTGAAAGATGCACCAGCTCCAGCAAACACATTTCTTTCATTTTGTAGTGTGAAGTGCAGCAGTCAGTGTCAAGCAGCGAGACACACTGTTTGCACCTTTAATCACGCAAACAGCAAAACCTCCACAGGTTTGAAAACAGATGTTTAGTCATGTGTGCTTGATTCATATGACGTTGACATTGTGAAACTTTTAACAAAAAAAATAGAGAAATGGCGTCTGCCCCTTTGCTTTCTGTTCCGCTTTTATTCAAGAAATGAAAATGACACCAAAGACAAAAAAAGCCTCATGTGAATTTCTGAGTAGACGTGTCTCAGGACACATTTGACTTCAACTTTTAGCCAATAACAGCTGACAGAAAACACACTGATTTGGGTGTCGGGGGTCGTACAGGTGCCCACGATGGACTTGAAGGGATCAATGAGCGTGTGGACGCATTTTGTCTTTTTTGCAAAGATAAGCTTTTAAACCAGCGTGGGCTGATTGTGACGCTGTGAACAGGATCTTGTTCTCAGAGGTGAAATCGCTGCCGAGCTTCGTCTCTCACGACAGCAAATTGATGAAAACCTTGTTTGAGGCCTGAGCCTCTTCTAACATCAAAGAAGTTAAACAACTTTGAGAGCTCAGATGTTAGTTTGCTGCTCTTTCCAAAGTAATATCCACTGCTCGGGAAACTGGCGCTGCCGTGTTTATGTGTATGTTAATTGTGTCCCCTGGCGCCAAGCCTGGACTCTTCCTATGGTTGTGTGTGTGCGTGTGTCAGAAGACCCTCCACGGGCACTGGCCAGCTGAAATGAATGCCGGCTGGCGGCTCATTAAAAATGCATTCTGGGGAATCGATGGACCTCCGTGCCCTGAGGCTGACGGGCTAATCTCACACTGTTAATTATTTAGCTCAAGTGCCCTGACGTTGGGAACTCGTGTGTGTGTGCATGCACTCGTGTTAATGGGTGATTAGCATTTTGCAGACTTTGTGTTTAGTGTCAGGCAAAAGGATGCATGCGTATACGGCCGAGGCACAGTTTGCGTGTAAGACTCTCCTCTTCTCTGTCACCTTAATGGTGCTCACAGATCTATGAAGTTTTAATGAGGCCAGCACTTGTCAATGTAAAGCAGCTCAACAGTTGTTTCGTAGCACCAAAGTCGAGGCCTCGCTTTCTGTGTCTCCCTCGTGAGACGAACAATGCTGACGCTCGTGCTGACAGCGTGGCGTTTGACTCCATATTCATGTTTTAAACTGAAACACAAACGAGTCCTTCTGCTCGCTGTCCGGCTCCTTTCATGCTTCTCCAACAAAAGACAGAACGATTTCGGTCTTTTCTTTGATGTAAGATTCATTTCCATTAAAAAATACAGGAGGGCGTGGTTTCCCGAGCGCAAACAATTCCACTCTGCCGTATCAGTGCAGAACCTTTGTTCGTGCACTCGGTGTACAGTTTCTGCAGCGTTACTCCACCAATATCCCGTCTTTAGTTTCACGCACACAAACACACACTCACAGCCTGCCTCGCTATCCCACTGGACCTTCCTGCAGAAGATGACTGTCAGGCCAGGCCAGAGATCTCGTGTACGTTGCAACTTCTTCTCTTAATTACTGTCACGGCTAACCCGCACAGAGAAACCCGATGCTTGGGGATCGTTGGGGGTTTTAACTGCTTGCAAAACAATTGGTGCAGGCGAAAACTTTTCAAAATGAAATTACAGCACAGGGTAACTTTAGATATAAATGGGGTTATCGTTCTTGTAGTTCTCCTGATCCTTTCTCTGTTCGTTATTCTTTTGATTTTACGCCAACATCCATACTGCATCTCCTTTTTTCACTCTGCCAGCTGGACTTAGATCCAGATCCTTTGGGTCCCTAAGTTAGATAAATGGTAAAGAAAATGGGTCCATCCAACCCTCCGTCCACTCCCGGTATGTTTTGCACATATCCTCACTCCCACGCTGTGGGCTTCATCCCCCACTCCTTTACTCACTCTCATCCTCACTTCATTGCTCTGCCCCTCCATTTCTCCCCTTTTCCCGCCTTCGTTTCCAAACACTGATGGTGCCAAACCAGAAGAGTGGCACAGCCAGGTTAAACTTGGCGACTGAGCATATGGTGTGTGTGTGTAAGAAAGAGGGAGAGAGGCAGGGAGTGTAGAAGTTACAGGCTCTCTGTTTTGCTGCAGGCTAATGGGAGCCAGCTGTGGAGGAGGTTAATTTTAGTGTTAGCTGCTAAGTTGCTAGCAAGCCTCTGAACAGGAACTGTAGCGCGGCAGCAGCTTCGTCTGAAACTGACTACAGCAGGTTCTTATTTTAGAGTTTTGGAGCATTTAAAATGTCAAAACTTCCCCGGTCACTATGTTTCGGTTTGACTTTGCGTCGCGCTCAGCGTTGGATTGGTCTATCTGGGTCAGCCGTGCCTTGTTCAGAGGCAGGTGTGACCTGAAAATTAAACCCATTTCTAAATAAATGTTGGCTGATTAACGACAAAACAACTACACTATTATTTAAGTTTCAAATACTGAGTGGTGCTTTCTTCTGTAATCAGAGTAGTACATCGTGTTTAAGCACATTACCTTTATCGTTATTCACATAAATATGTGATTTGTTAGATGCTTAAGTCATTTTTTTGTTCATGAAAGTCCTTAAAAATCGCTTTTCCCCTTCGTTGATTCTTTCGTGGGAGTAACCACGTTTCTAAAATGGATATCTGCCTTTCTCGCCACATTCCCATCCTCCTCCTCTACTCCACTACTCTGCAGCTTTTAACAGGACAGCTCGAGACACCGCCTTTTTCATTGACCCGAAGAATCGAGGTGAAGAGGCCATAACACTGTTGGGTTGCTGTACTTGTTTGGACCCAAGGTGCTAAAGTAAAGGTGCTCTTTTGGATTGAGATGTGATGATTGTGCAGTCCACTTGTTGTCAGCAGTGTCACCAGTGTTGTGGCTTTCTGCTGCTGTAGTACATCTGTGTGAGGGTTTGGTGTATTGTTATTCAGAGATGCTCTTCTTGGTTGTTACAAGAGGTTCAATAGTGTGGATGCCCTCAAAGGCATCCACACTATTGAGTTCCTGTTTCTCTTTATTCTTTATTCCACTATAATCTAGTTGCTTCCGTACGTTTTTTGGCACTTAACTACTCCCTCAGTTTTCAGCCAATTTTCACCGTTCAAACTTTTAAAAATTCTGCTGTTTCTGCTAATGGGTACAATGACTTTTGGTGCTCATAACTTCTATACTTTTTGAGATATTGAATTTTTTTTTTTTGCAATATTTTTGTCCATTTCTTCCGCATTATAAGTGGGGTCACTGATTTTCCTCACTGGGTTGACTGGTGTTTTAGCTCATTAAGATGAGCAGCTGTTCTCAGACTGGGAGGCCCGGGTTCAAATCCCGCTTATGGCAATATTTCTTTCAGTTAACAGTTAAACTTTTTTAACTCTTTTCAACACAAATTTCAGCTTTTTCACCAATTTATTTTCAGCTGTTTTCAGAAAAAAACTCTTGAGCAGAAATTCTGCTGATTCACCTCTTTTCTGCAAAGTTTTCAGCCTTTTCACCTCTTATCAGCACAAGTCTCAGCCGCTTCTGCTCATTTCAGCAGAATTGTCAGTCTCTCCACCTCTTCTTTGTGAGAATAAGCTTGGCTCAGTGAGATGAGTAGCTCCCTTGAGACCAGGAGGGCCAGGTTCGAGTCCTGCTCATGGCAACATTTTTCTTTTTCAGCAACAATTTTCTGCTTCTTCACCGCCATACAACTTTTTGCAAGTTTTCAACTTTTTCAGCTTTTTCAGCAGGCAACTTCAGCATTAAGGCATCCACACAGCATTTTCGCAGGAAATGCAAATTTTTCTAGTTGCAGTTGCCTTCTCCTCCTGACCTCAGCATCAGTAAGGTACTTTTGCCAAAGCTGCTGCTCACTGAATACTTTCTCCTTTCTTTACTTTTTATTGTGATATATACGGATGCTCTTTTGCAGGATGTCCTGAGCATGTCTACGCGCCTAAATGCATTGATCTGCTGCCATGTGAGCGGCTGATTAAATATTAGCATTAAGCAGAAGTTGAACGGGTGTGCCTAATAGAGTGAATTTTTTGCGTGTGAAGACACAGCAAAACTAACTGAAAACCTGTTCATGAACCAGGCCATTTTCAGTCATACGTGTATGAACTGTAAAGGTCTAGTTGTGTGAATGCTGTGTGATGGTTTTCAGCGCTGAGGCTCCGTCTCTGTTAAGGGTTCTGACTTTGATCCGGTACGACGAGCCTGCACTGACACTTTTTCTTCTGCTGTGAGAAGTAATCAGATCTGCAAAGTCGTCGAGCTTGCAACCCAAAAAACTTTAAAGGATCGTCAGGTGATAACTTACCGTTTGTCATGACAGCACAACTGATGGCAATTAACTCCACTTTTTATATTAATTCACACCACAAATATGTCGCACACCCAGTGGGCCTTACTTTCTCTTTGTTGGTGCCTCTCCGTGCCAAATGATTAGATACTTATTGTGCCTGCAGATAAAAGTTGTTCCAGATCGATAGGAGTGAATAGAAAATATGGCAAATATGGACACAGCTGTTGATGTATGTTATTGCACCGTCGCAGCTCCACGCCAAGAGTAAACGGACAACTTTTGAGTCATCGACAGCTTTCAGAAGAAGAATGTTCGCAATCATAGTCACTCTAGAAATGTCGCTCTTTTTAGGTTAGATACACAACAGTGGTGCAAATCAGCTGCTGCAGAAAGTGGACATTTCAAATGAAGTCAATGTCAGAATTACACTGTACACTGTGATGGATGCAAAGTGCTTCGGCTTCTTTGATCAATGTGAGAAGACGCCAGCTGTGAACCTAAATGTGCATTTCAGTGTGTTTGTCTGCTTTGTGCTCCAACCTCAGAGTTGTTTTCAAAGATGGTGAAAAAGTTCTTCCAGATGGCAGCGATCCCTCTGACACACACAAGCCCTCGCAAATCATTTCTTATCTGACGCCTCTGCTGCCCTCTAA